CAAACATAAGGCTCAAAAAAGTCTTTAATTTTATTAAAATATTATAGGTCTGATTCCTCCCCCTATCTAAAGAAACTGAGAAACCTAGCAACAACCTGTGCTCCGCAAACTTTAGAACCCCAGTTCCTAACACTAACCACAACCCTCCACAACCAAGAGACCAGCTCTGTAGTAAGCAGCAACATACAGCATTTTCCTGTACGGGGACATACCAACAAGCCTAACTCTTCAGACTCTTGCAGAATAAATTAGGCCCTTGTAGTTTTATTGTTCCCTTTAAGCTGCATGTACACTTTGAAGCTTAAACTAAACCTAGCTAGAATGTGAAAGATAGCAAGATATTTCAAACAAAGCACAGAACTGTTGAAAATGAAGCTAATGAAATAGAAGAGCGCATTACAATAAATAATTAATTTTCCTACATTTAATTTATTATAATTAGAATTAATAACTTAATTCCAAGTAACTTTAATTAGAGTATAAAAACGTCTTGGATGTAACAATAATTAATTTAGTGTTTAAGCACAAGAAAAATGACTGTTGTGAAAAGATCCAAATGAAATATGAGAGCAGAAAATTATAATTTTACAAGGAAATGCAGATCTGTACATAGTTATTTCTGATACATTACAGTCCTTTAACTTGGAGGTCATTATACCAAAGATGGAATAACTATGTAAATAAAACATAAAATATTTAGTTTGCAAGGGGTACTCAACAAAATTCCCTGCTTCAGGGAAATCGTCCTACCTATTGCATCTTGCTTACAAGGTAGCATACTTAAAATGGGAGAAGGGAAGGAGAGGATAGCATTGTACTGACAAATATCCTACAAAATGGACAACTGTGATGCAGAAGGATTGTACCTAAACTTTCAACAGCAAAAAACATTCACACATAAGTAGCTAAATAAGGGGAGTTGCATTTTAACTCTTCAGTGTCAAGTAGTTTCAGCTGTCATTTGCCTCTGTGAAAACTGGTGAATATTTCAGCTTTCTTGAAATCTACACATTTGTTAGTTCCTCAGAAGGCTCTGTGGGGTACTGAATGCTTTTGAAAAGCTGTCAGTCAGCCTTGCCTGAGGTTACACAGCAGTTTGTAAAGGGGCAAGAATTAAGTCTGCCCCTCCTGAGTCTCAGTCCAGTCTTTAACGCACAAACCTGCCTCAATTTAAACTTCACCAAGAATCATAAATATATCCATAACAATATACAAAGTTTTAAATAAAATAAGCCTGAAGTAAACATTAGGACAGTATCTGTCTCAGCACCAGGAAGCCATGTCACCTCTTGGTAAAATAAACTTGCAAGGGTTTAACATGCCATCAAGTTATTATGTAAAATAGCAGCTCTTCAGCCTAGAGTAAGGTCAAAGCTACTGACTCCATAGTATACTAGCAGCCAACATAAACACCAGGCTTGCAAAGCAGAACCTCCAATCTGCAAAATGGAAATATATGCATGTGGAAATTTTATATAAGCCAAAAAACAGCCATGTGACTGTAAATAGCAATATATATATATATATATAAAATTTATTACAAAGAGTCATAGTAAACATTGCAATTCTGGCCAGTGGCAACTTTTTATTAGCAGACACTCCTCAGGGTAGTATCAGTTACATGATGACAACAATCGGTTCATTTTTAAGACTGCAGTCAGATTCCATTATAAAGTCACACTTTGATCACTTTTGATTTGGAGAAAAAAAAAAGTGGCCTAAAATCAAAATAATTAACTCAAGGTAAAAGAGAACTTTTTCCCCCATAGTATGGAAAATAACACAAACATCTGTTCATAGTTAAGGAACATTACAGAAAAAAGATGACAGAAAAGAGAAATTTTAATTTGCTTTAACATTTTATATCCTGGTAATATTAAAAAGCTGCTGTTAGGTGAAAATTGCCATGGTAGTATATCCAATTGAGTCCTGCATCCCCATCTCTGATAATATACTATCAAGACTCTAAATTATCTTTTTGGAAAAAAAAAAAAAACCTACCAAAAAAACCTCCTGACCAATATGTGTTCATTCGGAGTTATATATTCAAGAAAAACACAGGATCACAAAGTGATGGCAAAATTCTGACTGCAGCAGGCCCAGATTTCACCTTCAGGAGCTTGTGTGTGGAGTCTTATCATTGGTGCTTTTAGCAAGACCAAGACTGGGGACATCAGCAACATAAAAAAACCCCAACCAACCAACCAAAAAAACCCCAACCAAACACAAAAAACACCACCAAAAAACCCCCCAATCCCCCAACCTCTATCAACATATGCCCTACACCAAAGCATGCCAAACCCCAGCAAATTTCAAAATAGCAAGTACCCAATACCATGAGGACTGGTTGTGTATCCTTATGAGACTCACAGCTCTTGGATTTACTTCCAGAAGAAACAATTCTACTCATGTTTTCTTGCAAAGAGGATTATAGCAATAAATCATCCTGACGGTGTATGGCCTAAACGATACAAGACATTACTAATTTTCTATTGAAAAGTCCTCTCCAATTTGTAGAAAAAAGGCCAGTTGTCTACATTGCATGGTTCTTTTCATTTCCAGTTAACTTTCCTAGGATAGTTTTTTATAAGATAATAGACAACTCATGAACTGCACTTTATCGACAAGCTTTCTGTAATTCTTAAAGATGTCTTAGGAATTAAGTAAATAAAATCCCATCTTTTCCAGTTATTCTTAGTAAGCCCTCCTTTTTCTGATCATCTCAAAAGATCAGTGTCAGAGAAAAGAAAGAAAACACTATTTTTCATCCATGATGATTCACATTCAAGAAACTCACTTGCCAATGGAAAAAAAAAAAACAAAACATCTCTGGTATTGCTTTCCATTAAATGGATTTGATTTTCTGAACATACCATTCTTCACTAGCATAACTACCTTCTGAAATAAAGCCAATAAAGTGTTGTCTTTTCCTCCCAACAAATACATGAAGTTATATGAATAGGATGTTGTAGAATTGGAAGTGGAACAATAAGAACATTAAAAAAAAATAAAAATCAATGAGTCTTTTTCAGTACTTGCTTTATGATTGCTTCCCGAGTTTTAAATCATTGTTTCACAATGTAGTTACAAGATATGAAATCAATGGAATATTTTAGTTAAAAATCAAACCGTTACAAAACCCAAATGGGGTACTAATAGATACATGCTTTCCTCTTAAAAAGAAAAATACTGCAAACCTTAATGAAAACAGTATCTGAGAACTGAGGTGGAAACATCATCTAGATCTAATGATGTTGTTATGTCTGCATATGCCAGCTAACCTCGTAAAAGCTGTGCAAATTTATGCTGGGTCTCAACAAAAAAAGCAATGTGGAAATTACATACCCTTTACTTTCTTTACATACCTTTCTACTTGCTTCGGAATAATGAATCAAATAACTGACAGTTCCAAATAATAATTTTCTACTTTGATTCAAATGAAAAAATGGGTAATTTTTAAAAAATTATTTAATACACATATGCAGCTACCTGCAAGTATTCTGACAGACCTTAGAGGCAACATGATGGAGGTTGCAGAGGCCCTGTGAAGTCAGAACTCGGAATAAACAGGAGCAGAACTGGAGAGGAGAACACTTTGACATATATTAGCCTAAATAAAATTAAAGACTTTTTTGGACCATAAATCTTTCTAATAAGACTGAGAACAGACTTCCTTTGATAGGAATTCCCTATCCCTTTTTTCTCCTCCAGAAGCTGTCAATACCATTATTTTTATGTTTATCACCATCTTATCACCATCTTATTTATTCTAAAAATTTTTTCTGCATAGTTTTAGTGACACCTCTTCATAAGATATGTCTTGAGAAAGGCAATGAGACACGAAAGATGAGGGAGTTTTCTTTTTTCCTCTTTAAGTAAAAACCACAAACAAATGGATATTGTTAAGTGCATTAATAGAATTCATAGCTTCAGCTTGCTCTTAAAACGGATGGCACAGTCACCTCAGCAAGAATTCCTCCCTCTCAAAAACTGTAATATAAAAGCCAAGGTGTCTGGCAAGGCTATACAGTCAAATAGTAATACATCCTTCGGTCAAAAATTCAGTTTGAGAGCACACAGAATAAAAACCTGGCAACTAGCAGAATGAGACTCTAATTTCCACTACAAACACTTACTCACTATGCGGCAATACTAAGCAAAAGAAAATTGCAAACACAACAGGAGGGAATATCAGTACAGGAAACTGAGTCCTGGCCTGTGAAATAATTTTTATTTTTATATGAAAAAATACCAATCATATGAGAACCTTATCCACAACAGACTAGTGTGCAATTGTATTGAATGATCCTCCCAGTTTAGGCAAGTAATAGCCTATTACTCAGTTTACGCTGAGTTGTGCCTATTACTGCGTATTCCCTCCTCCTTGTAGCAAACCATATTCTAAGTTGTTATTTTGGGAAGATGCATTTCCTCTGAACAGATTTCATTAGACTAATTAAAATATTATTGTTTGTAACTGGGATAAGAAAGCAGGCGTAAGTCTTCTGTTTTTACTGTGCAAAAACAGTGCAAAAATAATGCAAAAAAATTTGCATTATTATTCTACCATATTTCCAGAATATTTGCCATTTTGATATAGCCAGCAGACAGGATCATTATTCATTGCCTTCGCCATTGTTCAAAAGAAGTTTGTGCTATTAATTTTAATTTTTGTAGTACTGTAACCATGCAGCCTGATGTTAAACTTCTTGGCACTCAAAATTTCCATCTATTTAGCATCCATTAGAAGGAAACAGAGCATCAAGCAAAAGAGGAACACTGGTTTGCTTTCTAGAAAATCATCAGATAATTCAGAATAAGAATCATTTGGCCATTATTTAAGAAACAGACATTTTTCATCTTCAAAACAGACATTTACTAAGTTTTTATTTGCTACTTCATTTGGCTAATTCATGTCTCTGCAGTTTTCAAACAAAAAGCAAGACAGAACGCACTGTGTTCTAAAGGTAAGAGGACAAAATAACTTCATATTTTCTTACCTTTGCATTATAGGGAATATAATGCTTTGATAAGGCTTCAGGAGTGTGCATCCATGTTTTGTCTACAGAAAAGCAAAATAAAAGAAGCGCTGAATAGGTTATTCAACTGGTAATTTAACTATTACAGTATCTATCTGGAAATCATCAACAACTCTCCTTTTACTCAGATAAGTATCTGTCTGAAGTAGTTATTGGGGCTGGAGGTAAACACAGAATATCTCACAACAAACATTTACATGAAAGAATTGGTCTTGGGCACACTTCCCATTTTAACTGACTTGACTTACCATAAAAATTCAAACTCCTCCCCCCAAATATATCTATTGGTCTATAGCGTTTTGCTGTTTCTGCCTCAGGTCAATATTTTCTGCATCCTGTTATTGTTTAAAGCACTGACCACATGTTCCACTTCTAATGAGTTTTTTTGATGAATTATGTGCTTTTTATGATGAATTATAAAGACGTCAAAGGGACAAAGGAAATTATTTTGGAAAAATTATCAGAGCAATAACTGATTCTAAAAAGCCCTAATCCTTGTACAAGAAAATAAAATCAAGTCAGATTGTGGTAACTGGTTCAGAATTTTAGATGTTCTTTAATCTTTCCTTACTTATTCTAAATGAATTTGTATATTTTCGTTTCATGATTTTCACATCACAAGACTGTGCTATTGTCTTATTTTTCCCACTGCATGTTTCATATGGTGACATGATGAGGTCATTACATGTAAAATACATCTTCTCTCCTTTTTTAATGGCCATTTAGAATGTTCTACATAATTTAAGGTGGAATTCCAAAAAATAGAAAAAACTTCTTATTAGACGTTTAGAAACAATTTTTTTAATGTTTTCTTATTTGAAAGCATTTAAGGAAAAAAAAAAAAATCCAAAAATACTCAGTTGTATTACCAACCCCATGGGTGATTCTGTAACACTGAGTAGTATTTCAAACTGCACACGTTCAATATTTAGTAGCATTTTCTAACACGAGATTAATCCTGTTTTGATTAGCATGAATTAAACTCACAAATCTGGAACTTTATTGAATTAAGTAATGGAATAATAGTTTAAAGCAAAATTCTACCCTTGGATATTCACAGACAATTCCCTTTGCCTTTAACAGGAGTTGCAGGTAGAGCAATTACCAGCTTTTTTGTTAGTTATACATAAGAACGATAAAATCCTGTTCACTTCAAACTGTTCAGGAGCAAAAGCTGTGACATTTGCTGACACTAAAACAATAAATAAATAATTTTCAATATACAGAAGCAAGAACACTGTTAAACAAGATATCCACCATAGTCACCACAGTAACGGGATCAAAATTGCAAAGCTGGAGGAAATTCTTTGTTCTTTAAGCAAATTTTGTTCTAGAGGACAGTGATGTTCAGCTCCATTACTGAAGAGTGATATTATCACTTCTTAATTAAGGAAGCATGATTTGTCCATTCAGCTGCACCCAGGAGTACAATTACGCACTGAAGTGGCTCTTCCTTTCAATTGTGCTTGTGATTGGAATACCAGAACCAAGACCCACACTCATTTCCCAGAATATACTAAGGCCTGAAACCTGATTTTGATTTTGAGTACAGTATCAAAAGCTGACGTTACCCACAAGTACAAAATAACACTCAGCATGAATTAGGAATGTTAGAATAAAGCCTGACAACCCAAAAGGTAACTGTATGCATTCTATTTTAAGTCAGTGCATGGCTGAAGGCCAGATGAGCAGACTGGCAATGGGGCTTGACTCTAAGTCCCAGACACAGAGGAAGTTGCTGGCAGGTAAGGCGAGGCTGCTCCCTGCCCCAGTGAACAGCTGTACAGTGCAGATTTTGACTCCAAAATACACATACATGTTGCTAATGTTAATGTTTTATTTACCCATTTCATACGCATTTACAGTTTAAAAGCTTCATCAAAGATACTGGCATATTTACAAATTCATAAAGCAAAAATCTAGTAAAAATAAAACATTGAATCTCTTAAAAAAATAACAACAGCAACAACAAAAACAATCCTTCCTTAATTTCATGCCTAGTACTAGCACAAACAAGCAACAAGGCTGTAGCTTCTAGAGCAATTTTACAGGCAGACAATTGACTACACAGGAACCAGTAAAACTAACTATTCTTTGCAGATGTTCCCTCCTCCCTTCTTCCCATCCCCAAGCAGGGCAAGTTCAGGTCTGAAAAAAAGTTATTTAATTTGGGAAGTAAATTTGAAATGCTGGTCTTCAGTAAGCAGCTAGTAATCTTTCCCATATTATCATTAGGTACAAAGCTTCACCTTAAAACTTTTTTGTGAAGTCATCCACTTGCCTACCAACCTCAAAGTGTAATGCTGCAGGGATTGCAGCAAGGGAAAATGCTGCTCGGGAGGTGTTTCTAAGTGTTGGTAC